AGGTTGGCAGGGACCTCTAGGGATCCCCCAGTCCAGCCCCTGCTCCAGCAGGGACACCCAGAGCAGGGGCACAGGGCGGCATCCAGGCAGGTTGGAAGATCTCCAGAGAAGGAGCCTCCACAGCCTCTCTGGGCAACCCGTGCCAGGGCTCTGGCACCCTCACAGGCAAGAAGTTCTTCCTCACATGGAGATGGAACTTCCTGTGTTTGAACTTGCACCGATTACCCCTGGTCCTGTCACCGGCCACCACTGAGACGTCACTGGCCACCACTGAGAAGATCCTGGCCCCATCCTCCCTACACTCTCCCCTCAGGTACTTGTGCATGTTGATCAAATCTCCTCTCAGCCTCCTCTTCTCCAGGCTAACCAGGCCCAGCTCGCTCAGTCTTTCTTCACACGACAGAGGCTCCAGTCCCTTCATCATCATTGTCGCTCTGCGCTGGCCCCTCTCTAGAAGCTCCACGTCCCTCCTGTCCTGGGGAGCCCAGAACTACCCCCAGTGCTCCAGGTGCCTCCCCAGAGCTGAGCAGAGGGGCAGGATCCCCTCCCTCACCTGCTGACGAGGCTCCTCCTGCTGCAGCCAGGAGCCCATGGGCCTTCTTGGCCACGAGGGCACGTACATTGTTGACTCTTGCTGCTATTGCCATCTTGTTACATCCCAGGTCTCGCAGCCATGAGAATTCCAAGTAAACCCAAGAGCGCTGCTCCAGGTGAGGGTATGAAGGACAGACAGGCAGAGCTCAGAGCTTGTCACGACCTAAGGCACCACCACTGTCCCAGACAGCACCTCACTGCATGACTATTGCAAATTTTCTGGCAGGGAGCAACAAGACTGGGCCCACAGGACATCCAACCACCTGGCTTGCTGAAAGAGAAAAAAAAAGGTCTGTTTCAAGAGAAGAGAGTTTGGCAGGGTCACCAGCCACAGGCTCAACCCTTGCCACCCTTAGGGGCTCCAGCTCCTCTGCAAGTATGCAATACCTGCACAGGGGCCTGCACCAGACAGTCCTCAAGCAGGAAAGGTCTCCTGTGGCCTCCTACAGAACAGGACACCTCCCCCCTCTACCATTACAAAGGCTGGAACCATGGGACACAAGCAAGAGACCAGGGAGTCTACCCTGACAGTCCAAAAAGGGGTACCAAATGCTATCTAACCCAAAGGAGATAATTCCTACTTTTCTTTGCACTTTTTTCCTGTTTCCAGACATCCATACAAGCCAAGGACCATCTTTAAGCCTGTCTCAAAGACAATCTTCCAAATATAGTTCCCTGCTTCTGCTAGCCAGAGAAGTTAGCAGTCTCATTTCCCCCACCTTCAATAGCAAAGAGCAGCACCTTCTCAAAGCAAACTCACAAATTCTTTGGCACAAGGATCTCGGTGCCCTCCTGAAACCTTTCAGTCAATCTCTCCTTCCTAAATAGCTGCAGGACCTCTTCTTTCTGCAGCAACATATGGAGAACTCCTTAGTCTCCTGTACCATGAGGTGCTTCTTCCTTGGCCATCTGCTCCGAACGGCACATCGCACTGCCAGTCCCACTTTGTGTCCTCAGGGGTTAACCTTGTCCTAGGTCTTCCTCCCTACATCCACACTCAGAGACCTGCTCTTCCAATTTGAAGGGCTGAAAGAGGAAATATGGGCCCTATGTGTGCTGGATGGAGCTCAGTAGGGTGAAGCAACACACCAAAGAGCACTGCCACAAGATGGGCTGCTGCATGCTTGGGAGGACAGACTCAGGAAGGAATATTCCATATTAGCATCTCATCAGGACCTGTAGAAGAACACAATAAAAATCCCCACTCTACACAAAGCCCAAAGTATGCTACTAGGCTGGGGAACATTTGCTGCAATGTTCCCCAACCTTCCTCCCAGCCCGGACCACTGGAAGAAGAGTGCTCTGTCACTTCTCTGCTGCTGCTCCTCCTGAAGACCATCAACAGACGCCCCAAAGCCAGCTTATGCCATCAAAAAGCTGACACTTTTGAAAACCCATAAGTTGTGGAGGCAGTGATACAAGGCCAGGAGATGCAGTTCACCAGAAGACTCTGACCGTAATCGCCTTGATGAGTCAGGTTGCTCTCACGAGTTGAGTCAGCCTTCTGATCAGTGCAATGAAAGACAACAAGGTTTGAGTAACAGGCTCAAAGAAAGGCTGAGGGAGGAAGAAAGCAACTTCATAAAGAACAACTTGTTTCGAAGCAGGATAAATCCCACGTTCATTTGGGGGGTTTGGTGCTTTGCTTTTTTGGTTCTTGTTTTGGTTATGTTTTATCTCTGGAGAATTTCAGCAAGCATTTTGTGAAGATTCTGAAGGTCCCCAAGCCAGAACCATGCCCCAACATCGTGACACTCACCAGCAGAAGGCACCGTACACCCTTTCTGGCTGTCAGACAGCGAGTGTTTCTTGTAGGGTTTCTGCTCTGGCATGTCCTCCCTGTAGGGCTTGGGCTCCAGGAGGGGCAGCCTGCTCAGGACCGGGGACTGCGGGATGCTGGGCAGCGTCCGCGACTTTCCCAGGAGGGGCCTCTGCAGCTTTCTATCCAATGACCTTGAAGAGAAGAAAAAAACACAAGGCACATCCATTTGAGCAGGTGAAGAGACCTTCCTGAGAGCAATGTCCCCTGCAAGACACTTCCACGGCACACGACATTGTCACTGGCCAGAGCTGTTCCCATCCCTGAATGCCACCCTTGGTTCACAAAGCTGCAGCTACTTCAGCCCAGCCTTCTCCCTTTGTCAGAGTATTTTAAGTAGGATTTTCATCCTGAGCTGCAAAATACTATCAGCAGAGGCAACACAAAGCACATTTTACACTTCTGGCCACCTTAAATTTTAGGGATAATCTGAATTAAACAAATACATGAACTAGAGGTTCAAGACTGAAAAATGATCTGAATTGCTGTTAATAAACTACTACTCCTGAGTCCAAGTTGGTTTTGGTGGGAAGTCAGGAAGTAGAGATGCTTGTGAGGAGGGCCTGGGGTGACAGGGGGGACTCACGCTGCAGAGACGCTGTGAAGGCTCCCAGGCTTCAGAAACACACGCGCAAGGTCTCTGCACGGTCAAAACTCAACAACCTACCAGGTTCAAAAGCAACAGGGATGATCAACACACACACGTGCACACTCAAAGTGTGATTTGTTTTCCTTTCTGTCCCCCACTGCCACAGGTTTGTGTCACATATTCCCCATCTTAAAGTGACTGAGTAACCCCCCAGCAAAGGGAGGGGGCTATGCAAAAGGCAGCTTTCATATCTTTGGATGGTACAAAGATCTCCCTCACATTTTCATCCGAAATCCAATTCATAGCTCATTTATACTCGCTTGTTCTGGAGCGAATATTGACTTTTAGCTTAAATAATTATTTTTCCCTCTCTAGTGCTTACTCCCAGGATTAATTTCCATTACACAGGAGTTAGATCCCCTTTTGGCCTTCATCTTGCTAGGCTGATTAAGCCAAAGCCTTGCAGCCTCCTCTCATAAAGGAGCTCTGATCCCAGATGCCTTCCTTGCCTTGTGCCAGCCCGCTCCGAGGCCCCAGGCACCGCGCAGGATGGCACAGCAGCAACGCAGCAGCTCAGACCCGGGCAGGCCAGGTGAGCGCTGCCCTCCTGCGCGGGATCCGCGCCAGCTCTGCTCCTCTCAGCTCCTTCCCCACTGAGGATCTCCCAAATTCCCATGGGAAGTCTCTGCTTAACAGCTCCTAAACCAACAATCCAGTACTTGACTATATTTTATCTCATCTCCACTGATTCCTCAGGGTCATGCAGGGACAGGCTGCGCTGCAAGGGCTCCTGACCCTCAGAGGCTGCCTGTCACTACTGTGTTTATTACCATCATTTTTCTTTCTCTTTGCCTGCATGACAGCAGCCTCTGATCCGTGCTGGCATCCAAGGCAATTTACGGGCAAGCAGGGACACAAAGGCCTCTACAGAGCGGCGGATTTGGTGATGATATCCCGCAGGATATTCAGCTATCGCAGGCACAACAACAGCCAGAAGCAGCATTCGGCCAGAGAGATCCACAGACCCATCCCTTCACCTCAGAAGCCTTTTACACAGGCAACACTATTAGGGAAGGGATGGGGAGCCCATTTGGAAGTCGAGGTGTAGAGAGAGGGAATATTGGTTGGATTCATCCTTACTTTCCTGAACACTGATCTGGCCCCCCAGCCAGTCAAGCTGGATGTTCTCAATGGAGCAGGGAGCTGGCATCAGCTGCAGGAATGGCAGGGCCAGTGACCAGCCTGCTGCCACTGCCTTCCCTGTACCAACAGCAAAGCAAAATGCCTGAAGAGACACAAAATCAGAATTAGCATGCTAGGTCCTTACTATTTTAGCTAATACCTAAGTACCTATCAGCATAACTCATTCTACTGGCACCAGACCGAAGAGACACAACTTAGCATATTGCTTTGCTGCATAAAGGAGTGCTGGGCTCTGCTGGAGTTCAAAACACCCCTTTCTTCCTGCACATAAATCCCAGTGCTTTTAATCACACCTGCATTTGGTTGTGGGATCCGCTGCAGAATAGCATTAGCATCTTAAACACTAACATTGCTCTGTGCCCACAGTGCCTCTCCCTCAAATTGCATTTGGGAAAAAAAGGAAGAATTTGCACTTTAAGAGCAATTTTTAGGCTGAGCAGCTACAGACAGTAATTTATATTGGGAAAAAAAGTAAGGAACAAAGACTACATGATAAGAAAAAAATTGTTTTTAGTTGAAATCTGAATTTGAACTCCCAAGAAAACTTCAACTCTGTGTATTTACGATCCCCTCCACCGTTCCTTGGGCCTCGCCAGTAGCTGAGCATTAGGACCTGGTGTTGGGAAGTCACGTTGCATCTCCGTATGCTTCCTAAAGGGGCTGCAGAGCGACACAGCATCGAGGAAGCCACAACCCATTAGCGCAGATCCCCGTGGGGCGCGCGCCGTGCAATTAGAGAAGCTGCGACCAGCGCTGCTACAGCCCATGAGCAGCTGCTGTTGGTGCGTTGGTGGAAGGGAGAGCCTGTAAGAGAGGGTTGACACGGGGGAAAAAGCCTTCCAGCTGCATGCAGGACCTCAGCCAGGAGCTCAGCGACGGCTCCATCGCTCCCAGCCAGCTGCCAAGTGGAGACGTGGAGCGAAAGCGCCACCGGGTTGAGTTCTCCTGCCACCGCATCTGAGGTCAGCTACAGAGGATGGCACACGGAGAAGCAAAAGTAGCTCAGCCTGTTAGAGGAGATTGAAGTCCTTCTCATTTCAGCTCCCAAAGAAAGCACACGTGCCTATGCCCAGTGAGGAAAACCTATCCCACCAGCCCAACTTTCCAGAGCCCTTCTGCAGGAGGAGGGCAGGGCTGACAAATAGGTGAAATCATTCATTTCTGGTGTCTAGAGTTACACTAGCATCCACTGGAGCCTCCGTTTCCAGTCCAAGCTTGCCACATCTGGTCGCATCCTTCCTGGATGAGCACTCCAGCGGCTGCGCTGCTGGCCCTGTGCAGGGCAAACAGCCTCACACCACTAATCACTCAAACCAAGAGCCCCCTTGATTCACATGGGTTTCCAGCGAACTCCCCAGGTGACAGGACCTCCTATCTCCCAGAAAGGCCTAAGGACGAGCCTCTGGAGACCCCAACTCCTGGGAATGGGGATGGAAGTCCTGGAAGCTTCACCTTCTGGAAACACAAACGCGTGCTGCAGCCACCCTTGCCGTGCTCCTCGCCACGCTCCTCACGGCAGCCATGCTCCCCACTGCTTCACCACCCACCGACCCGGCACGGGCCTCCTTTCAGAGTCACTGGGACATAGCAGTTCTCTGTAGAGGCCAATGACCCAGCCATAGCTGGAGCCCTTCAAATCAGCCTGCTTCGCCCTCCCTCAGGCCAGCTTCCCAGAGCCAAGGGCAACCAACGTACAGCCACACGGCCACAGCGACGGCCCCACGCAGCGCCGGCCGCGGCCTCCGCTCCGCACCGCGAGGCAGGCGATGGGAAGCGCTGATGGTGACACGGTCTCCTTCACCCCGCCTGCACGGCGGCGGGACAGAGACCATCCAACCGAAGAAAAGGAAGTCTTGGGAGGACATCTGAAAGGTCATCTTGGGAAGAGACCTACAGACCCATAAAAAGCTTAAAGAAAGATCTAAAGAAGGAGCAGTACCTCTGGGTAGAAGACAAGGCAGCCTAGAAAAAAAAAAACTAAATTTAAGGAACACGCTTTGGGGTGTCACCAGGTAATCCTGCCTTCACATCAAAAGCAAAACCAAAGATACGTAGAACAGCTTCCTTTTCAGTTGACCACCATAGCGATGTGCGCTAGCTCCCCACCAGCCAACGCAGAAGCTGCAGAGCAGCACGAGCTCTTCTCTCAAATGCACCAGCTCCAGGACTGCTGCAGCTGGCCACATCCTTGCAGCCGGACCCAAGTCATCCAGAACCTAAAAGGCAAAGCTGTCCCACCTGAAAGCCAGCACAGCAAAGCCACCCATCCCCAAAACACATTTTTAAGCAGAAATGAGGAACGGCTGAGTCGAGCAAGGAAGATAACTATTTCAACAGAAAAGCAGCAGCTCCAGAGCACCACGGGCATCCCTGGAATCTCCTGCTAGCCAAGACCACGCCGCTGCGCCCCGGTCCTTGTTCTTGTAACCGCTTGGAGATGGGAGGCACCGGCACAGGGGGCTGCCCGAGCAGAGCACCAGCGAGCTCCCCCAGGCACGAGGAGGTCGGTCACGAGATGCTTCTCACTTCCCGATTCAACCCCAGCCTCCCCGCAAGCGGCTTCCCGCTGTTAGGAGGTAACGTCGGGCTCACAAGCGCAGGGAGCTGGCAGAAAACAGAGAGTCTTTTATCTGGCTCTAAAATGGCTTCAAAACAAAACAAAACAGCCTTCAGCTCGCCGTTCAGAAAAACACAAGTGTGCAAAGCTCTAAAAATACCTTCCCTAAAGCTGGCAAATACCATGCTTTCAACCAGATGGCTTGCAAAAAGCTCCCTTTCCTGCCATCTCCTCTTGAAGGGCCCTTCTCCAGCAGCGACCAACACCCCAGAGCATAGCAAAATGCCACCTTGCATAAGGAAACTAATTGCATTTCCACCAGGAAGGGTGAGGAGGGCTTCACGGAGCTCCAGAAGGTGCAGCCAGGAAGGGCACACATGCCATGGGCCAGGAGACATGAGAAGGGCCTTGGCAAGATGTGCCTGAAGTGGTACTTGGAGAGCTACAGAGCATCCGTTCCCTCCGCCACGCGCAGCCGTGCCACGGGTGCCAGCCCCGCTTGCTGTGCCCATCGCTGTCCCCGTGCCCAGCATGCTGAACCAGGCCTGGAGACATCCCAAGGAAAAAAACAATTACCAAATTCCTATCCTAGCCTTGGCCTAGCAACTGCTGCCTCCTGGGCCTCCAGGACCATTTCCAGTGCTCAAAGCTGCTCCACTGTGAGCTGGTAGCTGTGGATGAAGGCACTCGCAGCGGGCACGGCGCAGTCCTCACCTCTGCTCAGGGAGGTCTGCACAAGCACCAAGGCAGCACGAGGCAGGCAGCTGCAGGAGGTCAGAACAGGG